CCTATAGACAGATATAAATGGATTATAGAAGCCAGAGTGGTACCTGGGGCTGGATCATGGAGTAGATGGTATTCTTGTCTCCAGGGGAATCCTGCTCCTGCTCCTGCTCCGGCTCTGGTTCCAGCCTTGACTCCTGAACGAGGAACAGTAAAGGGGCAATGCCGTGATGTGCACGGACAGCTGGATCTGCCCACATTTGGGTGTATGGGGAAAGACAGCACAGAGAAGGGCTCCTGGGAGCGAGGGAGGGAGGTGCAGGAGTGGGGAGAGCCTTGTCAGTCCTATCACCTATCCCGGGATAGGGAGAGAAGTGGAGCAGAGCCATATGCAGTGGTGAGTCAGTGTGGGGAGTGAGAAGCTACCTAGACCTGCAGGGATTCAAACCATTCTGCCCAAGGGAGCTCCTGCTACTTCCTTCACTTTGGGACCTTGGAAACCCTGCCTTGCCTTTGCTGGTGTCCATATTAAGTTTGCTGCATAACCACTGATACTGTGCAGAGCTCTGGGTAGACTCAATCTGAGCCTTACCTCAGGGCGCTGAATTCCAGAAGGTGTAAGCGTTTTAAAGACTGGGCACATGTAAGCCCTTGTCCTAGGTTCAGCCTTGGTAGCCAGCTTGCCCTTGGCCTCAAGTGGGCCTTTGGGAAGACGTGGTGCCCGGTGGAACCCTGGACCCACGGCCAAGGGTGAAGAGTACATGGTTCTTCCTGCTTTCTTCTCTCCTTCCAGTCCATAGGAGCCTGGGGACAGAGGGGTTCTTGCTGCTCGCCCCTGAGTACACATTGCCAGTTTGGGTCCCAGTCAGAACCAGTGGAGGCCAGAGAGTTCACCAACTAAGGTAGAAGCTGACTTCCCCAAGCAAGGAGAAGCCAGGAGGAGCTCTGTTGTCTTTCATCCTGTCTCAGGAGGGCTGAAGATCACTCTGGGAGGACAATTGCCCAGTTCTCAGCTAGGGAGAGAGAACTATCAGCCATGCTGGAAGCTGCAGAGCCATAGGTGTTTGTCAAGAAACAGCAGTTTGGGGGCCAATAGGTAGCATAGTGCTTAAGGCACTGGACTCCCTCATGGACAATCACAGTTCAAGCCCCAGACACAGAGGCTTAAAAAATCTGCCAGGAATATATGTGTACAAGTCCAAAATCCTAAGAGGAGAACGGAGCAGGGATTGTGGCAAGACCATCACCTGGCAGGGGAGGGTGATTTCTCATTTTCTCTCTCTCTGTCTCTCTCTGGCACAGTATGAGGCAAAGACAAAGAAGAAGAAGGGAGAGAAGAAGAAGACAAAGACGAAGACAAAGATGAAGAAGAAGAAGAGAAGAGAAAGATGAAGAAGAAGAAGAAGAAACAAGAATTTATTGCTTTTCTGTCCTGTCCAGACCCCTGGGAAGTGTCTCCAGAAAGGCTGAAGCTGGGTCCTAAAGTGAGACCACTTTGAAACTTCAGATTTCGACCTCTGAAGACAGAGGCCAGGGATGGCTGAGGCCAGGCTTGGTGGAGCTCTGAGATAGAAGCAGGGTGACATTCAGGTCTAACGCTCCGAGAGCGTTCCCTTGTTCTCAGTCATTATTTTCCCCTCATTTTACCTAATCTAAATTCATCTCCAGTTTGGGGAGGAAAGGTTATTTCCAGTGAGCGCTTGGGCACGAGGGACTGCAGGTAGATTCAGGGCTCTCAGGACCATGCCAGAGTCTGGCAGCAGTAGGAGAAACAAAGTCTCCTCCTATTTTCACAACCCATCATCCCACTGGGGTAGGAAAGCAGGCCAGGGGAGCTGACCTCATTCTCTCTGAGCCCAGACCCACGGAAGCTACTGGTGAGTTCTGAGAGGCCCCAGAAGGCCTCACACAAGTGGCCAGGCCGGAAGAGCCCACCACATGTGCTTCCTGCCTGGGCTGCACCTCCCTCCGCCCACTAAGTGCCAGGAATGGCGGTGGAAGAGGGCACTTCCTCCCCACCTTTGCCACCCCCTTCCAGAGCAGTCCGGTGGGTGCTTCCTGACCCATGGGGGGCCTTGCCCCTGGGCCTGCTGTCACATCCTGCCTGCCCAGGGCACAGCAGCCCCTCTGCAGGTTCCTACTCTTGTACCTCCCTGAACCTCAGGCAGAGTGGGCTGCTGCCTGCAGACAGCTGTTAGAGAAGTTCCAGAGGAGGTCATTCTTCTTTAATATTTGCTAATGTGATCACAAAGACTCCACAAGGATAGCTCCCTAGAAAATAGTTAGAAAGGCAAACATAAAACTATCCGTCCTAGGCATAACCCACCACTTCCCTCTCTGGGGATCGAAATGAGCACTAATGAATATGGGCTGTGACACCCTAGATCAGCCCATGCTGTCAGTGGAGAAAAGCGGAAGTTCCTATGGCTGTTTTTGGTAAGAAAGCCATGTGACCTGGTCCGATGGTACAGGAAACAAAAAAAAAGTCTGTTAGGAGTTGGAGGCAGGGAGGTTGGGGAGGATCAGGGAAAGTTTGGAGAAAGAATAGGAGACAGAAATAGTTATATGAGTGGCTCTGTTAAAACAGAGGATGTGGAATAGCAGGTGATGTGGTGGTTAAGACGTTGGACTCCCACATAGCCAGCCATGGTTCAAGTCCCAGACTTGTGGGTTTGCTTTCTTGCTTTTTTTTCCTCTCTTTCTGGTAAGCACACGTGCCCTATAGCAAATTTAAAATAATAATAATAAATAAAATAAAATCAATAAATCAATAACAACAGAGACCATTGAGAGGAGTGCAATGACCAGAGCAGCGATTTTGACTGTCCATATGCGTTATAAGTGCATGCCCTCCTGGCCACACCTTCACTCTGGTGCTTCCTCCAGAGCTGAAACCTCAGCTTGACTCAGGCCTCTCCTCCCCAAAAGACTGTCGCAGACCACGAAGCAGCTACAAAACTGTGATGCTGCGGCCGGTCACACTCCTCTACCTATGTAACAATGAAGGCACACAGAAGAGCAAGATCGGCCTTGCCAGGGAGACAAGCATTTGTGGCCAACACAGCAAACATGAGAGGCTGCACCTCTGCTGACATCAGTTGGCCCAGCCCAGACTGGGCCAGGAGGCAGAGGCATGAGGGTGCAAATGAGGCGGCAGCACCCTGCCCTGTGCTGTGGTTTCTGTTGCTCTCCATCCTTCTCAGCAGGTACAGTTCTGCACCAAGCTGCCCCTTCTGTCTCCCTTTTATCTTGTCTGTGCCCTTTGACTTCCCCTTTGCCTCCATCCCCTGTGCTAGGAGGCTGATGGAGAAGAGACAGATGGGAGGGCTGATGAGCATTCTGAGAAGACAACTGTCTGGCTCTCTGTCTCCCCCTGCTCTGAGTGTCCATTCTCAAAAGAGCATCTTGCAAACCAGTGGGAGAGACCCCAGCCCCTAGGGTGCCATACTTGATTTCTCCCAGTTCGCAGGTCCTTGATGTCTTCATAAACTGTCAGAATTTCCTTGGAGCTAGGCTCTGCAGAAGGAAGAAAGCGAAGAACAGAGCTTCAGAGATCCCCAGAGAGCCCCCTGGATGGGCACCTGCTTCCAACATTCTCACCTCCACCCTGGAGGGCCGAGACCTGTGAAAGGTTCTAGAAAGGAGGCAGGTGAGCATTCTCCCCAGGATACCCCAAGAACACAGAGCAACCATTACCCTTGACATAGATCCTCTGTCAGGCTGGCAGCCCCCACCACACCAGCCACCTGCAGATGACTGCACACAGGACATCAGACTGTGACACCTGGCAGCCACTGCAGAAGGTGTGGGGGCCAGCAGGTGGAGTGGCAGGTAAAGGCACTGGACTCCCACATGGCTGACCATAGTTTGAGTCCCAGACCTGGTGACTTGGTTTCTCTCTCTCTCTCTCTCTCTCTCTCTCTCCTTCTCTCTCTGTCTCTGTCTCTCTCTGGTGAGCACATGTTCCCTATAACAAATTAAATCATAATAATAATTAATAAAATTAAATAAATAATTCTTTAAAAAAAAAAAAAGGCTTGAATTGAGAGAAAGAGCCTAGCGACCACTGCTTACCCCACAGCAACCATGCATGCACTTCCCACACTCCCCAGGAGGAGGAGGGATTATGCCCCCAGACACATCCCACTGGAAGAAAGGCCAGGTCACTGGACCTGAGGCCTCAGATGACAGTCCTTGCTCCAGGACCTCCCACTTACCCGACTGCTTCCTCCTCCTCCACACATAGAAGAAGGTGAGTGCACCAAGGAACAGTGTGGTCAGAATCACAATGGTCACCAGGAAGATCAGAAATCTGGACCCTGAGGAAGACAGAGGCATGAAGGCTGAACTCCCAGCCTCCCTCTTCTTCCTTCCTCTTGGCCTGTCTCAAACCCACTGTCTTCCTAATCAATTCACTGCCATGCTTGTCTCTCTGCTCATTGCATGACTTCTCTGAGTAAGGTCAAGAGCGGATATGAATATCCTGACAGATCTGGTTCAAAGTCTGATTCTAGAAGCTCTGTGCTACTTATGTGACCCTTCTGAGGCTCCATTGCCTCATCTATAAAAAGGAGATAATGTTACTTACTTAGAGGTTAATTATGATGTTATCTGCCTAGAGGGATTAATTACATGATCTAACACAAGTGAGGTGTCCGATACAGCAGATGTTATATCTAGCTATTCATATGGCTCTTCTTATGTTGTGTTGCAATTGTGCTGTGTTTTTTAGTTTGCTATAGGGTATGTACACTCACTGGAGAGAGGGAAAGTGAAAATGGTGGCTGAGGTTCCTTCCCCCACACTCCCAGGAGTGATAGATGTTCACACTTCTCTGTTCTCCTCTTGGGCTTTAGGTCATGCACACACACATATGCCTATGGTGTTTCTTAAGCTGCCAGGTCTGGAACTTGAACCATACTGTGGACCATATGGGATTCAGTATCTTAACCATCAAGCCACCTGCTGGTCTCTCTGTTTTTAACTCAACAGACATTCCTTGCCCACTCATTACATGCCAGGCATGTCTTCTACCCCACCTGGCTGCTGCTCTGGCCTTTGCTGCTCCTCCTCATTCGGATTTCTACATTTGACATGCATGGCTGTATCCCGATGTAGAATCCAACCAAGAGGAGAAGAGGAAGGAATTAAGTATCCCAGTGCCAGTAGACTGGGCTCTTTACAAAAAATAATCTAGTTTCAAATTAACAACAATCCTGTGAGGTACTGATTATTATCCTTGTATCACCCAAGAGAGAAAAATGAGGCTCAGAGAATTCAGTGAATCTGCCTGAGGTCAGAGAGAGCATCGGATGACCACAGGGGTACCTAGAAGAGTTCTTGGTGTATTGCTTATGTTCATCCTGAGAGTTACCTGAGTTAAGGTTTTGCCATGGGGTGCATGCAGTCGTCAGAGGTAGACGGGAGACAGAGAAAGGGAAAGGGAAAATTCATTCCCTGTGGAGATGTTCACACTGCAATTCCTTCTATGAAATTCTGTCAGGATTTCGGCACATACATACATACATGAGCCTTGTGTATTTGTATGTGGACCCATTTTATCAGGGTCCAGGACTCAAACTGCAGAGTCCCATGTGAGATCCAGTGCCTTAACCACTATGCCACATGCTGGCTCAAGTTTTTACTACTTTTAATTTGATAAACAAAGACTCCACATGCTATCAGCATGAGTGCTGGGGTCGTAGGGGGAGGCAAAAACCACAAAAACCATGCAGTCCCTGTCCTTAAGGAACTTATAGTTCAATTAGAGCAACAAAACTAAGTATTTGTGGGCAAAATAAAAGCGAACAAGACAGAGACAACTTATAGTGACAAGGACACTGACTTCCGGGTCATGCCACCTGTGTCTGTGTCATTCACTAGCTCTATGATCTCGGGCAGATTCACTAACTTCCTTGCAGGAAGCAGGTCTCCATATCTCTGAGAGGAAGAAAATAATGGTCAGGAGCCCTGAAGGACATGACTCACCAAACAGCCATGCATTCCCTGTGTGAAGGGAAAAACACATGCCCCAGAAGATGGAGATAAAATCCCCCCTAGCCGAGGACAGGTCTTGCTTTACAGGAGCTATGTGCTCAGAGGCCATGACCCTCCTTCCCCCACTCCCAGGGCCGGCACTGGAGGACGGAGCAAGGATTTACATGTCTCTCACATGAACCTGGGGTGGAGTCCAACACCTCTGCCCTGTCATAGCCCCAAACGCTCCACTTACCCTCAGGACCACTCTGGCAGTCACGTGTGACGTTGATGGTGGAGGTGTTCCAGCTGACAGGGTTGCTGACATTGCAGGTATACACGAAGTCACCACTGACATTCACCTGCTCCTCCAGGTGGGTAAGGTTCCTTGACCTCTGGATCAGCTGGCTCCCTCTATACCAAGCATAGCTCACATTAACATTATTGGAGACCGAGCAGGACAGAGCCACTTGGCACTTCTCTCTATCCAGGACCTTCCCCCACCCGAGAAGGCAGGGTTTTTTAACTTGATCTGGAAGAAGAGATTCCTGTTAGAAAGGCACTGCAACTACAAGTCCTGTAGGAATCAGGGTGGGCAGACCTAGAGACTCACCAAATACAAAAACCCGAAATGCAGCTCTTGAAACTGTTCCAGTCTCTCCGGTGACCTCCACACAGTAAAGGCCACTATCATTCTGCTGAGGTGATCTTATGAGAAGAGCCAAGTCCTTAACTATAAAACTGACTCTGTTTTTGTAACTATCCAAAATTGGAGAAGGTGTAGAGTTGACACTGGATAAATTTTTCCAAGTCAGTATCTCATGATACTCTGATCCTGGCGGTGAGTGCAGCTTCACCTTCCATTGGACCGAGTCAGCCATCTGTAGGTTGCAGGGCCGTAATCGGAGAGCCTCTCCTGTGAGGTGAACCACATCAGTGGAACCTGGGGAATCTGGGAAAGAAAACCCAAGCTGAAGGTGAGGGAAGAGCTTTAGGCCTGACCAGTATGCGCAGTGTCAATGGAAAATAACCAACTCTAAAACATTAATAATTAATAAGTAATGTGGTTTATTTTTAAGCAGAATAGGAGTGACCTAGGCCCAGAGAGTAGGCAAAACATGCCTTTCTCTTGGGGTGATCAGGTTCCTTTTATTTGATTCTGAGAGTGAGAGGCAGAGTTTGGAATTTAGTGAAAAGTCTTCCATTGGTCCGGCCCCAAAAGGTGGGACATATGGAAGAGGGGGTTTTAGACTATAGGTAGGTTTTATAGTTTTTAGTAATTGGAAAAGGAAGGTTGCTGAGATCATAAAAGAATGTAATTTAACAGCAATAAAGAGGCTTAATACACAACACAAAGATACTCCAATACTAAGCCAAGGGCAGGATGTAGGAAGAATCCTGTTACAATGGGCCAAAATGGTCTGTCAACATCTGCGGGCATGACTCCTCTTAGGCCCTCTGGCAAAGACCTTGGGAAAATAGCAAAAAGCAGTCAGACTTCTGTCCACAATAGCTAGACGTGACTTTCCTTAATCCAAGAGGAAAGGGCCAGTGTGAGGAGCCTAGAGCTAGAAAAGAACCTCACATTTCACTTCCCTATCTGCCTCATCCTCTCGCCAAGTCCTGTGCCCCTCATGTGCAGGAGCCCACAGACCAATAATAATGTCTAAAATCTCGCGTGCACTTGCTAGATGACAGACAGGTTTAAACACTACGTGTTTTTACTATTTAACTTCACAATGACCTTCTAAGGGTCTTATCTCCATTTTAGTGAGTAAACTGAGTTAAAAAAAAAGTCTAGTAACTGACCCAAGTTACACAGTAGAAATGATGATCTTGAAACCCAGACAGTTTGGCTTCTTAACTAAAATGTACATGCCAGATAGAGTCCCTCCCTATGGGGCTGAGATACCAAACAGGTGGCCAGTGGTGACTGTCTGAAATTCTGAAAGGCCTCACCCAGTAAGACTAACTCTCCAAGCTGAACTCCAAAGGCCTTTCCTGTCCTTCTAAAGAGCTTAATCCACAATCCTCTCTTGTAGCACTTACTATTACTTTTAATATTACTCAGTCATATTTGCTAATGTCTTAGTGATCATAAAGTCTCCACAAGGATAGCTACCTAAAAAACAGTTGGAGGGGGAGCCAGCAGTTAGCGTAATGGCTATGTCTCTGGACTCCCACGTAGTCGACCGCGGTTCGTGTCCCGGACCCGGTGGCTTAAAACTCACGCTGGGCGCGTGTGCGTGCGTGCCCAAGATCCCGAGAGGAGAATGGAGGAGAAGGGATTGCGGTGTGACCATCCCCCCTGGGGGGTGATTTCTCGCTTTCTGTCTCTAATGTCTCTCTCTGTCTGTCTGGCGAGCGCACGCGCCCTATAGTAAAAATCTCGACAAAAAAAAACAGTTGGAGGGAAAAAAATAAAACTACACTTCTTAGGCATACCCTGGCACTTCTCTCTGTAGGGGTAAAGATGAGAACTAACAGGGACCAGCAATTAGCGTAATGGCTATGTCGCTGAACTTCCATGTAGTTGACCGTGGTTCGAGTCCTGGACCTGGTGGCTTAAACTCACGCTGGGCGCATGTGCGTGTGTGCCCAAGATCCCGAGAGGAAAATGGAAGAGAAGGGATTGTGGCATGGCTGTCCCCCCTGGGGGTGATTTCTCACTTTCTCTCTGTCTCTCTCTGTCTTTCTGGCAAGCGCATGTGCCCTATACTAAAAACCTTTCTAAAATAAATAAATAAATAAATAAGATGAGAACTAACAAATACGGGCTGTGACACCCTACATTGGCCCAGTGCCATCAATGGAGAAAAGTGAAAGTTCTTGTGTCCATTTCTGACAAGCAAGCCATGTGGCATGACTCAGTAGGTGCTGGAAATTAAAAAAAAATCTGTCTTAGGGAGGTGATGAGGCAGATCAGAGAGAGTTTGGGAGGGGAAATAGGAGATGGAGATAGTTATACAAATGGCTCTGTTAGAACAGAAGACATTAAGAGCAGAGCAATGGCTAGACAGGGGTTTTCAACTGTTCATATGCATTATAGATTCTCTCCCTCCCAACCACACCTTCCCCCTGCTGCTTCCTCAAAAGACAGCATAAATAATTAAAAGACTTGGGCCAGCCCTGTAACACAGCAGTTAATTCCTGTATACAGTGAGACAGATTCCACATGGCTGACCATTGAGTCTTAACCCTGGTGACTTGAAAACAAACAAACAAACAAACAAAAAACCACCAGGTGCATGTGTGTACATACTCAAAACTCTGACTGGATGGGAAATTAAAAAAAAAAAATTGATGGATTCTCTCTTTCTCTCTCTCTCTTTTACACACACACACACACACACACTCTCTCTCTCTTTGATTGCACATGCCCACTGGCTTTATAAAAACAAAACAAAACACCTTTTATTTTTAAAAAAATTAATTAAAAATATTTACTGAAAAGGTCTTTTTTTTAAAAAATTAAAATAAAGATGGGTTGTCTGGTGGCATGGTGATTAAGAATGCTTTTAAGAATGCTTGATTCCCACATAGCCAACCATGGTTCAAGTCCTGGACCTGGCAGTTTGCTTTCTCACTTTCCATCCCTCTCTCTCTTACTCTGTCCCTCTATGTTCAAATTAAAATAAATATAAATAAATAAATAAATAAAGTTAAATAAAATAATTCTTAAAAAATAAAATTAAAATAAACAAATTGTAATACTAGGCCAGGCTTCATAGCACAGGAGTTAAGTGCTATACAGAAGAAGCTAGATCTCATATGGCCCATGGAGTGTGTGGGGGATACTTACCACAAGCTCCATCAGTGAAAACCAACTGTGCACACTTGTCCAGGATCCTGATGGGGTGGAGAACTAGAGGAAAAAGGATTGCAGTGATCAAGATCTATTGAGGAGAGTGTGTCCTCTCATGTGTATGTGCCCACTGGCATTTAAAAGAAGCAGAAAAGAAAGAGAGAGAAAGAAAGAACAAAGAAAAGAAAGAGAACAAACAACAATAGGACTTGTAATATTACTTGGTTGATTAAATTCGTTCTGGTTCTGCCTGTTAACAAACCAAGTGTTTCAAAAGCAGAAACTGGGTCACACATCTCTGTGTCTTCATCTCCCATGGTCCTAGCACTGTATATAGCATTTGTTCTCAGAATAAGCCAACTTCCTAGGTATCGCACAAAGACCCGGAAAACATAGGTGAGTGGGAAAAAATAATTACTAAATCTACAAAAAGGACATACACATGAGTCCCATTGTAACTCAGGCCCTGAAGATGCAGGTTTCTTCCTGCATAAGATATGTTCTGGGCCAGCAAGTGGCATGGTAGCACTGAACTCCCACATGGCTGACCATGGTTTGAGTCCTGGACCTAGTGGCTTGCTTTTTCACTTCCTCTCTCTCTCTCTCTCTCTCTCTCTCTCTGTCTGTCTCTGGTGAGTGCATGTGCCCTGTAGCAAACTAGAAATAATAATGATAAAAGGAAATTCTTTAAAATTAAAAAAAGTAAGCATATGTTCCTGAGAGACAAAAGAAATAGAAGGAGCAACAGCAAGACCCACACCACTGAGCCTGAGCTCATCAGGGACCCTGCCCAGCCTACTGTGAGGGACGAGGGGCTATTCTGACCTTGCTCCAGCCTCCAAGAGCCAACATCTGGTTCCTGCAATCCCAGAGACAAGAGATAGGTGGTATGAGCTGCTGCCCCACATGTGCTGATGCTGTTCTGCCCCTCATCCATCTAGGAGCAACAGGGAGGCCCAAACCATTCAGCTTGAGCTCATCAGAGACCCCCACCCAACCTGCTGTGGGGGATGAGGGGCTACTCCAGCCTGTGTGATTCACCCACACAAAGTAGTCTTCCACTTTACATTCTCTCTCTCCAGCTCAACCTCCATCCACATTAGCAGCAGAAAGGTTTGGGTTTACAAGAACCAAGCCCCTGAAAACAGGAGACTCGAGGAATTCTTTCCACACAGTCCTCTCTAGCAGTAAAAGGAGAGAAACTTCCCTCTGAAAAACTGAACCC